GTAGAGCAACGGTCTCCCCTCATGCAGGTCGGCGTTCAATCCCCGACCATCAAAATAGTTGAGCACCATTCCTTCCCCACCCCTCTCCGTCCCATCCCAAATCCTAATATCCTGATCTCTTCCAAGTGCTACGTAGTCGTAATGCCTTGGCGCTTTATCCTGATAGTTCCCTTCCCTTCAGAACCAAGTGGCCTTTATTGGCGTCTTAGTGATAACTTTACTACCTGAACAAATCCACAAGGGCCGTGACGAGGATTCGAACCTTTACTACCTCCTTACCTCGTATACCTTGACACATACGCCACTTGCAGTACACTTGCGGTCATTCAAGGAAGGTTCTTACTAAAATTGAGCCGTGTGGCATTATTGTTTGAGGGATGTTACTTTGAATTTGTGTTTGTTCATATTTCTGTTGAACTTGGATTATTGTACGTGACGGGTGACGCCGGCGAGGAGGGAGGGAGGGAGTTATCAAGGGGAAAGCGCCAAGCCAATACGCGCAGAAGTTACAGCCCCGCTCCTGTGCCAGGTAAGTCCACTACGGGCTCGCCATACCCCGTGCTACTTGGGACGTTTTGTTCCCAGTAGCTGAATCTTCAACAACAACAACAACAAGCCATTACGACTATATAGCACTGGGAAGGGGTCAGGCTAAGGATTTGGGATTGGACAGGACGGGGGGGGGGGTTATATATGTTATCTTCAGATGATTTCGGGGCTTTTAGTGTCCCCGCGGCCCGGTCCTCGACCAGGCCTCCACCCCCAGGAAGCAGCCCGTGACAGCTGACTAACACCCAGGTACCCATTTTACTGCTAGGTAACAGGGGCATAGGGTGAAAGAAACTCTGCCCAATGTTTTTCGCCGGCGCCTGGGATCGAACCCAGGATCACAAGTCCAGCGTGCTGTCCGCTCGGCCGACCGGCTCCCCAGAGATTTTGACCGGCTCCCCAGAGATTTTGACCGGCTCCCCAGAGATTTTGACCGGCTCCCCAGAGATTTTGACCGGCTCCCCAGAGATTTTGACCGGCTCCCCAGAGATTTTGACCGGCTCCCCAGAGATTTTGACCGGCTCCCCAGAGATTTTGACCGGCTCCCCAGAGATTTTCCCTGATTTTGTATTTTTAAGAGCATCTCGTTCAGTACTGGCGCTAGATTCACGAAAGCACTTACGAACCTGTACATCTTTTGTCAATCTTTGGCGGCTTTGTTTCCAATTATTAAACAGTTAATGAGCTCCGAAGCACCAGGAGGCTGTTTATAACAATAACAACAGTTGATTGGCAAGTTTTCATGCTTGTAAACTGTTTAATAAATGTAACCAAAGTCGTCAAAGATTGAGGAAAGATGTACACGTTCGTAAGTGCTTTCGTGAATCTGGCCCCTGGTCGTTTATAACCTTGGAGCTGGACCGTACGTTCACCAGCAAAGTTAACCAGACCACACACTAGAAATTGAAGGGACGACGACGTTTCGGTCCGTCCTGGACCATTGTCAAGTCGAGTGTATCTTGAGAATGGTCCAGGACGGACCGAAACGTCGTCGTCCCTTCAATTTCTAGTGTGTGGTCTGGTCAACATACTTCAGCCACGTTATTGTGACTCATCGCCTGCAGCAAAGTTAGTTTTGGGCAGAGTTTGCTAGGATTAGTTACGTTAGGTAGTGTCTATTGGTTGAAATAACTCGCCACCGGACGGTACTGCGCGATTTGTCAGTGTCGTTCACTGTTTATACTGTGTATCGGAGCGTTTGCAAAGTTATCTTCACAGATGTAAAGGATATAAAGTTAAGTTATCTTGTATGATAACAGGGCGTCCCGTGGGCATGTATTCGCATACCACACCGGTAATACTAAGGCCATACAGGCACCGGCCGGTTGCCGTATGGGTTCCACAGACACAAGAGACCGGGGGAAGACTTGAACCTGGAACCCTAATGCCCACCCAACCCGTTCTCGCAAATTTAATAAGTCAATATTGACTTATTAAATATGTGCATAGGTGACATACTTAACATAATAGATACCCTTAAAAAGATTCATAGAAAACACCGACCTTACCTAACCTTGTTAGTATCTAAGATAAGCATCTTATTGTTTAATTACAATTATTACCTAACCTATAATAGGTATAGGTTAAGTAATAATTGTAATTACGAAGCAATAAGATGCTTATCTTAAGATACTAACAAGGTTAGGTAAGGTCGGTGTTTTCTATGAATCTTTTTAGGGGTATCTATTGTGTTTAGTATATCACCTATGCACGTAGTTAATAAGTCAATATTGACTTTACGAATTTGCGAGAACGGGTTGTGCCCACCACATGTGCTTTGGTTATCGCCTCTTAAAGTGATGATATCCAGTGTTTCTTACCTGGGTTAGCATGTAAGTGCCGTCACCTCACGTCTCATCCGTCACTTCCCGTAGGTGCCGTCACCTCACGTCTCATCCGTCACTTCCCGTAGGTGCCGTCACCTCCCGTCTCATCACAGCTGTCCATTATATCCGTATTGAAATAAAGACTCGTGACAAAATTAAATGTGTGTGTTGAGTCTGGTTCTGCCATTAATACAACTTTTCCTTTCCAGGTAAAGTGGTGGTCGTGGTTGGGGGGAAAGTGAGGAACGACCCGCGGGCTCTCTTAATCACCTGACGACACCACCACCTCCATCACCCCGCTGGTGATTAGCGGTTAGTTCGACATTTTTGCACAACTGCAGCGCGGGTTGGGCCGTTATCTTTTAGTCTGTTTAGTTGGTTGAATAATGTGGGAAGTGAACGGGAGAGGGAGGAAAGGAGGCAACCGTCTGGTGGTAGAGGGGTGTGGACGGTGGGTGTGGTGGTTGTAGTGGGGGTAGTGGTGGTTGTACGGGTGTGGGTGGTTGTAGTGGGGGTAGTGGTGGTTGTACGGGTGTGGGTGGTTGTAGTGGGGGTAGTGGTAGTTGTACGGGTGTGGGTGGTTGTAGTGGTGGTTGTACGGGTGTGGGTGGTTGTAGTGGGGGTAGTGGTGGTTGTACGGGTGTGGGTGGTTGTAGTGGGGGTAGTGGTAGTTGTGTGGGTGTGGGTGGTTGTAGTGGGGGTAGTGGTAGTTGTACGGGTGTGGGTGGTTGTAGTGGGGGTAGTGGTGGTTGTACGGGTGTGGGTGGTTGTAGTGGGGGTAGTGGTAGTTGTGGGGGTGTGGGTGGTTGTAGTGGGGGTAGTGGTAGTTGTACGGGTGTGGGTGGTTGTAGTGGGGGTAGTGGTAGTTGTGCGGGTGTGGGTGGTTGTAGTGGGGGTAGTGGTGGTTGTACGGGTGTGGGTGGTTGTAGTGGGGGTAGTGGTAGTTGTGCGGGTGTGGGTGGTTGTAGTGGGGGTAGTGGTGGTTGTACGGGTGTGGGTGGTTGTAGTGGGGGTAGTGGTAGTTGTGCGGGTGTGGGTGGTTGTAGTGGGGATTGTCAGGTGTATGGTGTAGGGGTGTAGACTCAGGTCTTGTCGATAGTTGGATTGTGTATGGTTGGGATGGTATTAGGAAGTATTAGTATTAATATTATTGTGGGGTTTGATTGTGTGATTGTGTTTGAGTGTGTGTGGGTGGTTGTGCCCACCCATCACCCATATGGGGATGGGTGGCGAGGGTGTAGATGCTGGTATTAAGACGAGTTAAAGAGTAAGAGGAGAGAAGAGGGTGTTGAAGTCTTCAAAATCAAATAAATTAAAGATTAAAATCAATCATCCAGGGATCACGATGATGCAGTTGTATCAGAACCTTCAAATCTACACAGTAAAATAACAACATACTGGAGTGAACGATATGGAAGGAAATGCAGAATAGAACCAGTGAAGAGCAGGGGTGCCGTAGACACAATCAGAGAACACTGTATAAACATCAGAGGTCCGCGGTTGTTCAACGTCCTCCCAGCGAGTATACGAAATATTGCCGGAACAACCGTGGACATCTTCAAGAGAAAACTAGATAATTTTCTTTAAGGAGTGCCGGACCAACCGGGCTGTTGTGGACATGTAGGCCTGCGGGCCGCTCCAAGCAACAGGCTGTTGGACCAAGCTCTCACAAGTCAAGCCTGGCTCCTGGCCGGGCTTGGGAAGTAGAAGAACTCCCAAAACCCCATCCAAGTACAATCCAGGTCCAGACATCACAACATTAATGTTATTGAGCACTGCCTGCTGAGCCAGCGTTGCCTTGATAAACCACTGTGTGACGGATGAGTGTCAAGGTGTTGTAGTGACAGTGTGTGGAGAGTAATCAACTTGTGTGTGGATTGTTAGGTCCGTCCAGGACAGACCGAAACGTCGTCGTCCCTTCACTTTCTTGTGTGTTGTTTGGTCAACATATTTCAGCCACGTTATTGTGACTCTTCGTCTGAGTGTGGAGAGTTTTTGTATTATTATTATTATTATTTTCTACCACAGACGTGGCCACACATTTACAATGCTAACCAGCATATATACATTTTCTTCTGTCCTCCATAGACAGGGTTAGAGAAGTGTTAAACATATAGTTCAAGGGTTTATTGAACACTCAACCGCAGAAGGTGATTCGGTGCTTTTAAAATGCTAAGCTAACCTACATACGTAAATACATAGATACACAGATTTACGTATGTCCGCGTGTGGAGAGCAGCAGCTGTACAAGTCACGGTGAACCTCCCAGCTAATATGAACAAAGTATTCCAATTTGCCATAGAGAACAGTATGACAAATGGAAAAAAATGTTCCGACTCCTACCTATGGTAAAAAAGTGAAATCAAAATCAGAAACACAATACGCAGCTAACAAGAAGAACGTAGAAGACTTGGAAATAACAATACTGGAATGTCTTACATTAGCAAATATAATAAACTAGCGGACACAGCCGCCAGAAAAATTATAGGCAGGATAAGGAGAAGAACTTCAAGAGGCAGGAGAACCAGTTGTGCCGCTTCTAAACCACCAACCATTTCCACCCTTCCTAACGCCTAACGACACCGGGGTTAGGTGTCGTTAGGCGTGCAAGGCGGGCTTCCTAGCATGAAGCGACCCCACCCTGGAGTACATTCCTGCGTCATTACGGCCCCGGCGCCCACGCTGCCTCCTGCCCCCCACGCTGCCTCCTGCCCCCACGCTGCCTCCTGCCCCCCACGCTGCCTCCTGCCCCCACGCTGCCTCCTGCCCCCCACGCTGCCTCCTGCGCCCACGCTGCCTCCTGCCCCCCACGCTGCCTCCTGCCCCCACGCTGCCTCCTGCCCCCACGCTGCCTCCTGCCCCCCACGCTGCCTCCTGCCCCCACGCTGCCTCCTGCCCCCACGCTGCCTCCTGCCCCCACGCTGCCTCCTGCCCCCACGCTGCCTCCTGCGCCCACGCTGCCTCCTGCGCCCACGCTGCCTCCTGCGCCCACGCTGCCTCCTGCGCCCACGCTGCCTCCTGCCCCCACGCTGCCTCCTGCCCCCACGCTGCCTCCTGCCCCCACGCTGCCTCCTGCCCCCACGCTGCCTCCTGCCCCCACGCTGCCTCCTGCCCCCCACGCTGCCTCCTGCCCCCACGCTGCCTCCTGCCCCCCACGCTGCCTCCTGCCCCCCACGCTGCCTCCTGCCCCCCACGCTGCCTCCTGCCCCCCACGCTGCCTCCTGCCCCCCACGCTGCCTCCTGCCCCCCACGCTGCCTCCTGCCCCCCACGCTGCCTCCTGCCCCCCACGCTGCCTCCTGCCCCCCACGCTGCCTCCTGCCCCCCGCTGCCTCCTGCCCCCACGCTGCCTCCTGCCCCCACGCTGCCTCCTGCCCCCCACGCTGCCTCCTGCCCCCACGCTGCCTCCTGCCCCCCACGCTGCCTCCTGCCCCCCACGCTGCCTCCTGCCCCCCACGCTGCCTCCTGCCCCCACGCTGCCTCCTGCCCCCACGCTGCCTCCTGCCCCCACGCTGCCTCCTGCCCCCACGCTGCCTCCTGCCCCCCACGCTGCCTCCTGCCCCCACGCTGCCTCCTGCCCCCACGCTGCCTCCTGCCCCCACGCTGCCTCCTGCCCCAAGGTCGAGGACTGTGGAGGCGGCCGGCCCATCTGTCTCGCCGGGAAAAATGCTTCGGTCGTGCGTGGACTACAGAGACCATTGCCTGTCTCTTGTTTTTATTTAGTGTGAATGTAACAAGTATTCGTCAAGTTATGAGCTGCAACTGCATTGTGTTGGGGGAGGATTGCTGTGGAGCTGTAGTTTAGCTGTCTGGGGTGTGAGCCTTTGATGGGGTTTAGCTGTCTGGGGTGTGAGCTTTTGATGGGGTTTAGCTGTCTGGGGTGTGAGCTTTTGATGGGGTTTAGCTGTCTGGGGTGTGAGCTTTTGATGGGGTTTAGCTGTCTGGGGTGTGAGCTTTTGATGGGGTTTAGCTGTCTGGGGTGTGAGCTTTTGATGGGGTTTAGCTGTCTGGGGTGTGAGCCTTTGATGGGGTGTGAGCTTTTGATGGGGTTTAGCTGTCAGGGGTGTGAGCTTTTGATGGGGTTTAGCTGTGTGGGGTGTGAACTTTTGATGGGGTTTAGCTGTCTGGGGTGTGAGCTTTTGATGGGGTTTAGCTGTCTGGGGTGTGAGCCTTTGATGGGGTTTAGCTGTCTGGGGTGTGAGCTTTTGATGGGGTTTAGCTGTCTGGGGTGTGAGCCTTTGATGGGGTTTAGCTGTCTGGGGTGTGAGCTTTTGATGGGGTTTAGCTGTCTGGGGTGGGAGCTTTTGATGGGGTTTAGCTGTCTGGGGTGTGAGCCTTTGATGGGGTTTAGCTGTCTGGGGTGGGAGCTTTTGATGGGGTTTAGCTGTCTGGGGTGGGAGCTTTTGATGGGGTTTAGCTGTCTGGGGTGTGAGCTTTTGATGGGGTTTAGCTGTCTGGGGTGTGAGCTTTTGATGGGGTTTAGCTGTCTGGGGTGTGAGCTTTTGATGGGGTTTAGCTGTCTGGGGTGTGAGCCTTTGATGGGGTTTAGCTGTCTGGGGTGTGAGCTTTTGATGGGGTTTAGCAAAGTGTTTGGTTGAGAGTGGCTTTAAGTCTGGATTCTTCTTAATCCAGGTTAAACTGTTGCTTGTGGGTTCCACTGGCCTTGCTTCGTCAGCTGTTTATACAAGCTATTCCTGTTAAGTAGTCAGGCCAATGTTAATAGATAGAGCAGCTCTTTGCGCTCGAACTGTTGCGGTTCGTGGGAGTCGCTCGAACTGTTGCGGTTCGTGGGAGTCGCTCGAACTGTTGCGGTTCGTGGGCGTGTCGCTCGAACTGTTGCGGTTCGTGGGAGTCGCTCGAACTGTTGCGGTTCGTGGGAGTCGCTCGAACTGTTGCGGTTCGTGGGAGTCGCTCGAACTGTTGCGGTTCGTGGGAGTCGCTCGAACTGTTGCGGTTCGTGGGCGTGTCGCTCGAACTGTTGCGGTTCGTGGGCGTGTCGCTCGAACTGTTGCGGTTCGTGGGCGTGTCGCTCGAACTGTTGCGGTTCGTGGGCGTGTCGCTCGAACTGTTGCGGTTCGTGGGCGTGTCGCTCGAACTGTTGCGGTTCGTGGGCGTGTCGCTCGAACTGTTGCGGTTCGTGGGCGTGTCGCTCGAACTGTTGCGGTTCGTGGGCGTGTCGCTCGAACTGTTGCGGTTCGTGGGCGTGTCGCTCGAACTGTTGCGGTTCGTGGGCGTGTCGCTCGAACTGTTGCGGTTCGTGGGCGTGTCGCTCGAACTGTTGCGGTTCGTGGGCGTGTCGCTCGAACTGTTGCGGTTCGTGGGCGTGTCGCTCGAACTGTTGCGGTTCGTGGGCGTGTCGCTCGAACTGTTGCGGTTCGTGGGCGTGTCGCTCGAACTGTTGCGGTTCGTGGGCGTGTCGCTCGAACTGTTGCGGTTCGTGGGCGTGTCGCTCGAACTGTTGCGGTTCGTGGGCGTGTCGCTCGAACTGTTGCGGTTCGTGGGCGTGTCGCTCGAACTGTTGCGGTTCGTGGGCGTGTCGCTGGCAGGTGTGTGCGTCATTCAGCGCGGGTAGCTTTTCTTGCAAGTTATATCTAGTTGATCAACACCCTTTTGTAACACACTTCATTACAGTTTACTGAAAATAATTGACTTTCAATTCTGTTAACAAGGAAAAAATGTGGAAAAGTTGCAATCTTTATATAAATTATAATGGTCAAATTATAAAAATATTAATATTATAATTATATTAATTATTAATATAATTATATTAATTCTTAATCAAAGTATATTAATATAAAAAATATATTAATATATTATAATTATTATTATATAAATTACTAAAAGGGAATAGTGTGTTTATAACTCCTCTCTTCTTTCCTTGTCTTCTCACATCCTCCATCTATCCTCTCTTCCCCCTTTCCTACTCTCCCCCCCCCCTCCTCTACTCTCCCCCATCCCGATGATGGAGCAAGGATTACCATGATGGTGAAATATGGCTCTCAGAGTACAATCTTTCCAGATGTGACAGGAAACACAGGCTACAGGGTGGGGGGGGGGGGGTCAGCCTCTACATCAAAGGCACACTCATCTGCACTGAGCTGCTAAACACCACAAATGATATGGTGGAAGTGCTAATAATCAAAATTTTTGAGCTTAAATGTAGTTATTGTCCTTGTGTATAAGTCACCGGAGTCAAATCGCCAGCAGTTTAACGATTAACTAATGAAAATAGAACTCTGCTTGGAAAGCCTCGCAAATCCAGCCCCAATCATCATCCTGCTTGGAGACTTCACCCTACGGCACCTGAAATGGAAGCACCTGGCTAATACAGTTACATCAGAAAGAATACCAGGAAGTAGCCTAAATGAACAGGCACATGCAAATGACATTGAGGTTACCTTACCTTGAGATGTTTTTGGGGCTTAGCGTCCGCGCGGTCCGGTCATCGACCAGGCCGCCTCGTTGCTAGGCTGGTCAACCAGGCTGTTGGACGCAACTGCTCGCAGCCTGACGTATGACTCATAGCCTGGTTGATCACGTATACTTTGGAGATGTGTATCAAGTTATCTCTTGAACACTGTGAGGGGTCGGCCAGTTATGCCCCTTATGTGTAGTGGAAGCGTGTTGAACAGTCTCGGGCCTCTGATGTTGATAGTTCTCTCTGAGAGAGAGAGAGAGAGAGAGAGAGAGAGAGAGAGAGAGAGAGAGAGAGAGAGAGAGAGAGAGAAGGACGACCATCGTTCTCTCTGACCAGAGTTCTCTCTGAGAGAACTCTATCAGTATCAGAGGCCCGAGACTGTTCAACACGCTTCCACTACACATAAGGGGCATAACTGGCCGACCCCTCACAGTGTTCAAGAGAGAACTGGATAAACACCTCCAAAGGATACCTGATCAACCAGGCTATGAGTCATACGTCAGGCTGCGAGTAGCCGCGTCCATGGTCACATTTGTCGAAGGCTTTTGCAAAATCTGTGTAAATTACATTAGCGTTTTGTTTGTCTTCCACGACATCTAATGCCATGTGATAGTGGTCCAGCAACTGTGATAGGCAAGAGCGCCCTGTTCTGAAACCATGTTGTCCGGGGTTATGGAGATGCTGTGATTCCATGTATTTTGTGATCTTACTTCTTAGCGCACTCTCAAATATTTTTATGATGTGCGATGTTAATACTATTAATGCTATTGGCTCCTTTATGGAGTGGGGCTATCTCTGCTGTTTTTAGTAGGGAAGCGGTCCCCATTTGCCGCTTCCCTCTACTGACATATTACTATGACCCTCTGTTTCATGTCTGTCAGGTACACTTTAAGGTACAAGTCTAGCACCTTCCCTGTTGTGTTATTACAGCCTGATTCACTTTGTGTGTGTGTGTCTATTCACCTATTTGTGCTTGCGGGGGTTCAACTCTGCTCTTTCGACTCGCCTGTTACGACCGTTACTAACTACTAATTTTTCCCACACACACCCCAGGAAGCAGCCCGTAGCAGCTGTCTAACTCCCAGGTACCCATTTACTGCTAGGTAACAGGGGGCATTCAGGGTGAAAGAAACTTTGCCCATTTGTTTCTGCTTGGTGTGGGAATCGAACCCGCGCCACAGAATTACAAGCCCTGCGCTCTATCCACCAGGTTACCAGGCCCCACAGGCCTAGTAGCCTGTGTGTGTGTGTGTGTGTGTGTGTGTGTGTGTGTGTGTGTGTGTGTGTGTGTGTGTGTGTGTGTGTGTGTGTGTGTCAACTTTTATGAGGACCCCATTAAAGGCTTCTTGGCAGTATAAGAAGATGCAGGCAACCCAGCCTTCTCACTCCTGTATTTTATTGGTCCGTCGTAAAACCTCTCTTGTGTTATTGTTAGTTTCAGTTTCCTTAGCCTTTTGTGTGTATTTGTGCGAGTGCGCGCACGCTGCGGTGCGGTATTCAAGTGGTCTCCTGCAGCAAATTAATATCAGTTATAAGATGATGGTCGTCGTCTCGGCCGCAGACGACAGGCACCAACGATGTTCGGTGTCCGGAGTCGCTTCTAGCCAGGCTAGAGGCGACGAGAGGCGACCTAGACATCATTTAAATTCTACACGATAATTTGTTTTCAGCTTTCATGAGCGGTGTGTGTGACAAGTTTTCCTTGTGGTACTTGGTTGCACACTGTGGTGTGTACTCACCTAGTTGTACTCACCTAGTTGTGTTTGCGGGGGTTGAGCTCTGGCTCTTTGGTCCCGCCTCTCAACCGTCAATCAACAGGTGTACAGATTCATGAGCCTATCGGGGTCTGTCATATCTACACTTGAAACTGTGTATGGAGTCAGCCTCCACCACATCACTTCCTAATGCATTCCATTTGTCAACCACTCTGACACTAAAAAAGTTATTTCTAATATCTCTGTGGCTCATTTGGGCACTCAGTTTCCACCTGTGTCCCCTTGTGCGTGTTCCCCTTGTGTTAAATAGACTGTCTTTATCTACCCTATCAATCCCCTTCAGAATCTTGAATGTGGTGATCATGTCCCCCCTAACTCTTCTGTCTTCCAGCGAAGTGAGGTTTAATTCCCGTAGTCTCTCCTCGTAGCTCATACCTCTCAGCTCGGGTACTAGTCTGGTGGCAAACCTTTGAACCTTTTCCAGTTTAGTCTTATCCTTGACTAGATATGGACTCCATGCTGGGGCTGCATACTCCATGATTGGCCTGACATATGTGGTATACAAAGTTCTGAATGATTCTTTACACAAGTTTCTGAATGCCGTTTGTATGTTGGCCAGCCTGGCATATGCCGCTGATGTTATCCGCTTGATATGTGCTGCAGGAGACAGGTCTGGCGTGATATCAACCCCCAAGTCTTTTTCCTTCTCTGACTCCTGAAGAATTTCCTCTCCCAGATGATACCTTGTATCTGGCCTCCTGCTCCCTACACCTATCTTCATTACATTACATTTGGTTGGGTTAAACTCTAACAACCATTTGTTCGACCATTCCATCAGCTTGTCTAGGTCTTCTTGAAGCCTCAAACAGTCCTCTTCTGTTTTAATCCTTCTCATAATTTTAGCATCGTCCGCAAACATTGAGAGAAATGAATCGATACCCTCCGGGAGATCATTTACATATATCAGAAACAAGATAGGACCGAGTACAGAGCCCTGTGGGACTCCACTGGTGACTTCACGCCAATCGGAGGTCTCACCCCTCACCGTAACTCTCTGCTTCCTATTGCTTAGATACTCCCTTATCCACTGGAGCACCTTACCAGCTGCACCTGCCTGTCTCTCCAGCTTATGTACCAGCCTCTTATGCGGTACTGTGTCAAAGGCTTTCCGACAATCCAAGAAAATGCAGTCCGCCCAGCCCTCTCTTTCTTGCTTAATCTGTGTCACCTGATCGTAGAATTCTATCAAGCCTGTAAGGCAAGATTTACCCTCCCTGAATCCATGTTGGCGATTTGTCACGAAGTCCCTTCTCTCCAGATGTGTTACCAGGTTTTTTCTCACGATCTTCTCCATCACCTTGCATGGTATACAAGTCAAGGACACTGGCCTGTAGTTCAGTGCCTCTTGTCTGTCGCCCTTTTTGTATATTGGGACCACATTCGCCGTCTTCCATATTTCTGGTAGGTCTCCCGTCTCTAGTGACTTACTATACACTATGGAGAGTGGCAGGCAAAGTGCCTCTGCACACTCTTTCAGTACCCATGGTGAGATCCCATCTGGACCAACAGCCTTTCTAACATCCAGATCCAGCAGGTGTCTCTTGACCTCCTCTCTCGTAATTTCGAACTCCTCCAAGGCCGCCTGGTTTACCTCCCTTTCTCCTAGCACAGTGACCTCACCCTGTTCTATTGTGAAGACCTCCTGGAACCTCTTGTTGAGTTCCTCACACACCTCTCTGTCATTCTCTGTATACCTGTCCTCGCCTGTTCTAAGTTTCAATACCTGTTCTTTCACTGTTGTTTTCCTTCTGATGTGACTGTGGAGTAGCTTTGGTTCGGTCTTGGCTTTGTTTGCTATATCATTTTCAAAATTTTTCTCTGCTTCTCTTCTCACCCTGACGTACTCATTCCTGGTTCTCTGGTATCTCTCTCTGCTTTCTGGTGTTCTGTTATTCCGGAAGTTCCTCCACGCCTTTTTGTTCAGTTTCTTCGCTTCCATACATGCCCTATTATACCATGGATTCTTCTGTTGCTTCTCGGATTTTTCCCTTTGGGCCGGGATGAACCTGTTTACTGCCTCCTGACACTTTTGGGTAACATAGTCCATCATACCCTGTACAGACTTGTCTCTGAGGTCTGTGTCCCAAGGTATTTCACTTAGGAAACTTCTCATCTGTTCATAATTCCCCTTTCGGTATGCCAGCCTTTTGATTCCTAGTTCTTTTTGGGGGGAGATAAGTCCTAGCTCTACCAGGTACTCAAAGTTCAATACACTGTGGTCACTCATTCCCAAGGGCGCTTCCATCTTAACTTCCCTTATATCCCATTCATTTAGGGTAAATATCAAATCAAGCATTGCTGGTTCATCTTCTCCTCTCATTCTTGTTGGTTCTTTGGTGTGTTGGCTTAGAAAGTTTCTTGTTGCC